TTTGTTCACAGTCTAGACTGGCAGTGAGACCCCACTCGGAAAAAGACTGTAGTGTATTCTTGATTCAGTTGACCTTGACTGGAGAATTACACTAGTACTTATGTTAAGTATTGAACAGGACCACCGGAAGGATAAGATTATGAGACTCACTGATCGTTGTTGTAATCTATACCTTCAGGGATTGATGCGTTCTCTAAAGCTATAAGATAATATAAAATAGTCGTGTATATTCATTACTTATTTATTTGATTTACCAAGGGTGATTCCTATTCTATTGGGATCACATACTCAGTACTTTGGTAAATAAGAGTGATTATATGACGAGCTGTTATAAATTATTTATGGTACTGTGTTCCAGTGCGCTGGATTGATGACGTCCCCGAAATGAGCTCAGGAAGGAATATTATGTTAAACCCTGCAGGTGGATATTTATCCGACACAATGATTAAAGATCTGAGCGGTACTAATTTCGAAAATGAATAAGAAGTCGATTAATTATCTTGTCAGTAATTTAATTAATCCACGGACGTTATATCTTAAACATGGGGAGGTAAATCGGTCAATCAGATTAATATTAATCAAGTGGAGGTTTAATTTAATTGATTAAATTGGAGCCAAATGGGGAGAGCAATAATAACATTCTAGTGGGATATATTATTATTTAATTTTATTAGGATTTTAGGAATTAATTTTATTCCATAATTATTATTCCAAGACTTAGGGAATATTCCTTCTAGAATATTACCTAGGGTTAGGAGACTAGAGAGTCTTCTAGAAGGTGATGTTAGGAGAAGGAGTCATGACCTAATATGGATTAGCTTGTGGAGTAGAATTAGGATTCCTTGGCCTAATGGGATAAGCCCATATTTGGCACCTCCTTAAGGTCCCTAATGGAGCCTATAAATACACCATGTCCCAACCTTTTGAGACACATGTGAAACTCGTTTTTTCCATCTTTCAAAGAGAGAAAAAATTGTTTTGTTCGAGAGTTAGGGAGATTCAATTAATCGCACCACCAAGATTAATTGAAGTAGGTGTTTAGGTAATCCATTAGAAGGCTTTAAGGAGAGATTATATTAAACCTCAAACCTTCATATTTTCCGGTCACCTTCCTCAGCCGACTGCCGCCATCCGCCGCCGTCGACCACCGCCGGAAAACCACTCCTCGCTCAACCAGGACTCCTCGCTCGACTAGGACTCCTCGCTCAACCAGGACTCCTCGATCGACCAGGACTCCTCGCGCCCCAGGAAACGAGCCGCATACGATCGGCATGACACAGTCCCTGCTCGCCTAGTCCTCACAGGAATAGAAAAGCTGCAGCGCGAGGCCCGCACGCACCCGCTATTCCTCGCCTGATCAGGACTCCTCGCACATATAGGAGACGTCCCGAGCACGTACCAGCGTGAGCCCAGACGCCGCACGCCTAGTCCTTTCAGGCATAGGAAAGTTGACACGCACGCGCATCTGTCCGCAACCCGAACCGCTGCAACCCGACCCGACTTGAGACGTGATCCGTTCGTGATTCAACACTCGACTAGAGTCGACAAAGGCCAAACTCTTCAACCGATTGAGTTGTGGTAATCAGACGATCTCCATCAAAGGAAATCAGAAACGTCTATGAGTCGGCAGAAATTTTAAAAGGTAATGTCCTAATCCTAACTATAAATTCCGCTGCGTTAGGATATATTTCGATAAGTTCAATACTGTGCATGTTGTTGACGTTCCTCACAGAACCCAACATGTGCGGTTATCATTAGAGCGTCATTGTGTCGTCAATGTGTCGACTTCCCCCACATCAGCAGGCCCGAAGTTCATCACTGGTCCGCTCTCATCGACCTGTTGCACCTCGACTTTCACATATCGACCTCGAGCATACGCCTTCCTTGCACGATTTGAATCTCCATCTGTCGATCCTCCAAAGATCATGTTAATTAATCCCCTTTTAGGGGGAAGTTCCTCCTTCTCTGGCGATCTTCCCCTCTTGATAGGGCTTTTACTTCTCTTCCGTCTTCTGCTCGACCTCTCGCGGTCCTTGTATATGAATTCCTTCAGATGGCCGGCTTTGATCAACCTTTCGATCTCGTCTTTGAGGTGTCTGCAATCGTCAGTGTTGTGCCCATAGTCTTTGTGGAACCAATAGTACAAATTGCTCTTGGGCTTCACAGGTCCGTCCTTTCTTGTCCGTGGCCACCTCACTACATCATCTCGAATCTCCCTCTCCATTACTTCTAATATTCTCGCGTGGGGAGCCGACAGGGGTGTGTATTGAACCGGCCTCCATCCCCTAGATCGTCCTTCACCTCTATCAGCTCGCGGGGATCCTCTCCTTTCCCCAGTCGAGTGAACTCTCTTCTTCTTCTTGTTGTCTCGACTTTCGGCCTGTGACATTTTCACACTCTGCAGATAGTCGACTTCTGCTTCCTCGACATTCATATATTTATCACATCTTCTCAACACGTCATCGAAACTCCTACCAGGTCGCTTAGCCAAAGAATTCTTACACAACCCTGGTAGCAGTCCTCTTGTCAATCCTCCCGTTTGATCTACTCCGTTGCTGTTGGGCACTCGACACACGCCCTTGTAAACCTTGCCATATATTCCCGCAGCGACTCGCCCTTCTTCTGTTGCATGCTGATCAACGAGAGATAGGACTTCTCCTGCACTCTGACACTTGCAAATTGATTGAAAAGACTCGAGCTGAAACCATCAAAGTCCTGGATCGGCCCCGTCGGTAATTGATGGAACCAATACTGGGCCGATCCTTTTAGAGTCGTCAGAAAGGCGCGACATTGCACCGGATCACTGTAGCGATGGAGCACTGCCATGTTCTCAAAACTTCTCAGATGTCGAGACGGGTCAATAGAGCCATCATACCATATGTTCAACTCCCTGAAGCCTTGGGGTAAGTCGGCCCTCAAGATCTGTTGCGAGAATGGATGTTTCTTTGTTCCCCTGATCTTCTTTCCCCCAACTCGGGCCTCCAAATCACGGACCTGGGCCAGCAATTGCTCCAATGTCTCGTCTCTCGCGTGCGGGTTGACTATTCGAATGGAAGATTCTTCTTCGTCTGCCCTTCTGTTTTGCTGCACATTCGATTGAGCCTGCTGTTCGACACGAGGTGGCTGCTCGACTCGCAGGTTCTGTTCGACTTGAGGATTCTGCTTGACTCGCACCACTTGTTTCATCTGGGCGGCTACAGCTTCAGCAATCATCTTTTGCATCTCGCTCCTCGTCATCGTCAGCATTTGTTGCTCGACGCAGGGCTGTGTCTGTGTCTGCTCCGGCACCTCCTGAATTCGCTTCCCCTCACGTCGAGACAACTCCGTTGGTTCCTTATTCCCAACACCTGGATTAGGGTTTTGACTTGTTTCTACTTGAGTCAACACTTGCACCTTCACTCTGGGTGCTGTAACAGGTGTTTCTCTTCCCAAAGTCATTCCCGGCGGCGGAAGTCCAAATGGTGATAATCCTAGCATCTGCATCACTGGAGGTCTTGGGGTAGAGAGTGGTGGTGGTCTTCTGTCTGTCCAAGCTCCCCTAAACTCCTCATTCAAGTTCCTCTACAAACCTTCCTTCTCCGCAATCAAAAACAGATCGGGGCTAGGTGTAGAGCTCTTAATTCCTTCAAGAACTATCCACAGACGGCACCAATATGATGGGTCTAGTCTCAGATCTGAAGTGAACCAATGGTAAAGAGCTCAGATCTGTTTGAATCGCCTTCGAACCGTTGCTAGACCGCGAGAATACCTGCAAAAACTCAACGCCGGAGGTGTTTCAGGTATAGCGCCTCCGACGCTCAAGTCAGTATATGAAAGATGAAGAGAGGCTGCACAGCAGCTATGAGGGAGAGTATGGAATGAATGGGAGTTGGGGTTTAGGGTTACCTCACCTCCTTTATATAGGAAGAAACACTTACTTGAAGTACCCAAAATGCCCTGGTCAACTTACATAAAAGGTCTAAAATGCCCCAGTCGGTTCATATCCCCTTTCAGCTGAGTCATCACAAGATTCCCTCTTATCCATTCAAGAATGCAGATCCTCACGTATGTTACAAGTGCGATAAGTCGTCATCACGTTTTCGGACTCGAGGCGTAAGAAGTCGACCTCGAGAACTGAGAGGTCGACTTGTGATCACATGAGGATTCGGAGGCTACGCCGTGTTACTCTTAAGTGGGAGTCGACTTCGGGAATCAACTGCAGGAAGTCGACTTACATGGATTTCGCTCTTCTTTCGTAGTTGTTTTGCTGAGGAGTTGACTTTGTGGAAGTCGACTTACGTATGCTGGCAATAGTACATCGACGTGTGGACGATCTAGGTAGTTACCTGGTCGAGTAGAGAGTTCTAGAGCCGGTATATGATAATATGACTATATCATCGACAAATCTCTCTCTTAAGCTTATTAGAATTGAATGGATGTCCTCATCTATTTAATCTTCCTAATTAAATTACGTAATCGAAAATTTAGATTTAAAAAGATGTCCTCGTCTTCTTAAATTTTTTGGTATGTTCTCGTTTTACTAAATCATTCTAAGTGTTGGATTGTTTTGAAATTTGCGTAAGTGTAGTAATTGTTCAATTTGTTATTCTTAATTGTTTAACTTAGATTTTGTGCTTAAGTGTTTTATTTTGCTAAGGGTCCAATTTATTTTTCTAAGTGTTAAGTCTTTTGAGAAAATTACTCCCTACACCATATATTTTATTTTTTATTGCACAATTAAACATCTATAGTAAATATTAACAATCCTACCTAAAATCATGTTTTTATTTGTAAATATACCAGAAAACATCTATCTATATTAGTTAATGATGAATTAAATCATTAATTACATATCTTTAAGGAAACAAATAATTTCTCTTCCCCCAATTACGATTCTTTCTTCCTATCTCTCTTATTCTTCTCTCTCCCCTTCCATCTCCCTTGTCTTATTCTTCACTTCAGCCCGTAAGATTAACCTTCCCAACCTCTCGTTTTTCTTTTGACATCGCCGACGAACAACCCTAGATCCGCTCCTTCCTTCCCAGAATTACTTTTCGTTCCTTCTCCATCCCACTTGCAGAAGTCTGAACATTAGGGTTCATGGCGGAAGTCCGAACATTAGGGTCCAGGCGTGGAAGGGAAAGACAGAGAGAAAATGATGATGAAAGCCGTGAAAAATCGAGTACAAGAAGGGAGGAGAGGAAGAGGGATTCTGAAAGAGATGACAGGAGCAGGATAAACTAAAAAGAAGATGAGAATGAAGAAAATGGATATGAAGGATTAATTGTATGTATATGTATATGTATGTATATGGGCATCGATGAGAAAGAGATCTGATTCAATATTAAACGTAGTCCCTAATGCGGTTTTTGTATATTTTCTGTATATGTTCTGTATATAATGACAAGATTGATTTATCTTTTGTGTATTTTCTTTTATGTCCTATGTATACAATGAATATATCTTCTGTATATGTTCCCGACAAATATACTGTTATTTAGTATATGTTTCATTTATACTGATACACTTTTCAATCTTTATATACTGTATAGACTTTTAACTAAGTTTTTAACTAATCAACTGTATATATTATATGTATATGTTGAGTATATAGAACCGCAACAATTATTTTTTTTTTTAAATATATTACGGGATAGTATCAACAAGATCGATTGAATTTTTGAATCTTCTTCAATTTTGTTGCGTCATACGATAGGTAATATACACATTCCATTTATTTTTTATTTTTATTTTTTGCAAATAAAACGGCTCATTCAAATCCCATTATTTAAGGAGAGTGATTTATGTTTGTTGAGGTAACCGCAACATTTAATTTCCACACATTAGGTAAACTTGCAAATTAATTAATTTACTTGGCAATATTGCAATTAAATAGTAAATGCTGTGTAGAGATAAAATTCTCCCAAGTCTTTTATTTTAGAGATAATTACCCCCTTCACCTCCCGATATTCTTTTAAGCACATATATACGATAGTGAGTTTTTAATTGCTTGAATACGAAAATTGTATTTTAATTTTCCTTCTCTCTCAAAATTGATGGTCCGTCAAATTCAATTCTCTCAAATTCTCCTCGCCCTTTCTTTTTCTCTCGTTATCTTTCTTCTTATCCTAATTAATTTCTTTTCAAATCGATCGTCCTCGTCTTCCTTCAAACCCTAAATCCAAATCGAAGGGGTTGGGCCAAGCTATGGAGCCAGAGGACGCGGGATCCGGGCCGAAGGTCGCAAAACACGGTATCGGCTGGAAGCAGACGGCGGGGTACAAGGAGAAGAAGGCGACAATTGCGGAGGAGATGAAGAAGATGCGTCGGTTGTCGATCAACAGCAGCCATGTCGCCCACCGTCTGCGTTTGTTGGACAAAGTTTATTAGCTTCTGCTAGCCCTGGTTCATTTGTGGGGATGTGAATCAAATTGTTGTTATTATTTGTTAATTTTGTAATTAATTAGTGTAACCGGTAGTTAGCTTTGAAGAGATTAGGATTTTGGGTTTTCTATTTTCCCCTACTGATGAAGAAGGTTTCAGAATTCTGCGTTTTTCTTTTTCTTTTTGTGAGGTAGTTTGTAAGCAAAAATATTAATGTGATGTTTATCTTGAGTTGATTTTTGTTAAATTATTTTTAAAAAATTTGTTTGAATTTAATTTTGTCAAATATAATTTGATGATTATGTTGAGTTAATTTTTTTAGTTATTGGTTATATAATTTTTTTCTTATCTATGTTTATATTCAGTTTTGTTTATCGTTTATTAATTGTATTTTTTTATCTTATCTATGGATTATATTTAGTCTATAGTTTATTTTCAGTTTATCTACCGTGATTTTCTTGATTATTGGTTAAGGTGGAGGGCTACTGTGGTCTGCGATTCTTTATTAGATTTTTGCATTTGTCTTTTTAATTTTTTATTTTTGCCTATTTAATTTTTTTGACTTGGAAAAAAAAAATAGATAACAAACATAAGATTAACCAAAAATTTAAATTAAATATAGATATAAGGTAATAAACTTAAGATAAACGGAAGATAATCTAAAAGATTTCACAAAATATAATTATCGTGATTTTTAAATTAAAAAGGCTTTTTGATTATTAAGTGGTATTAGTTTTCGTAATTCGTAGTTTGGGAATTCTCTTTTGAAAAGAACTTAGATGCGTCCTTTAGCCTTTATTTTTCGGCCTAAGGTTCTTAAGTTTTAATTTTACCTAAGTGTGCTTTTTCTCGGTCCAACTAGAATTTCCTATAACATCTTTTTCAGCCCAACTTCACAACCCAAATACCAGCCCAAACTCAAAGTAATGGCCCAAGCATCTACCCATATCAGCCACTATCTCGTCTATTCCCTTCCCTCTCAGCACGCCGACGAGAAGCCCTACCTCAACGATTTCCATGGATTTCGGCAGCCCTCCCTACTGCACATCCCCTCCAGCCCTCAATTGGTAACTCCTATTTAAGGTTATCGAGAACCTCACCGCCCCGGGAAGCCTCTTCAAAAAAGTTTCTAGGCTGAGTTGCCCTTTTTTCTTGTTACCGATCTCAAAGCCCTCGACCAAGCAGAACCGGCGATCGAAGCTTCAAAATCCGGCGACCGCGACCGCGAGCCAGTCTCACGGCGGTTGACGAGCACACCGAGACCTCCAGTCCGACCGAGTCTCGACCGCTTTGAGCTCCGACTAGCGACGAGGACGAGCGGCGAGGCGAGCTCTGTACGCGGCTGAGACTGGTTGTCGTCGACCGACGACCACCGACGGACAAACGAGCAGCGCCGGAGAGCTCCAGTTGCCGGCGACTGTGACATCACCTAATCGCGATCTTTGAGCTCCTACCTCCAGTGCGACAGCGAGCCTCATCCTGCGACCGACGATCTTTTATCCCTGTCTGGCGATTTTTTCCGGCGAGCAGCAGGTCCCGTCGGTGTCGTGCCTGAGTTCTCGTCACCCTTCGTCGGCAATAGCGCAGCGGCAAGTGAACAGAGACGGCCCATTCCGACGGGCCGTCGACTTTGGGCAGCCATCTCCCGTTCGGCTTCTTTTCCAAGCAGCAGCAGCCCCGTCGTCCAGCATGGGCAGCCGACGACTCACGAGCAGCAGCGGCCAGCTTCCTTTTCAACGAGCAGTGGCCGGGTTCTTTTCTAGCTAAGCGAGCAGCGGCTGAGGGCAGGCATCAGACCACCCGAGCCGAAAGCAAGCGAACAAAGTCAGAAATCGATCCCTGCCCTGCCCCTTTCTTACGCCGAGAGAGGTATATTGGCTGTACCTTTTTACCTCATTCTTGGCTGGAATATTGGACTATTTCTAAGATGTTTTGAAGTGTATGTTATTCTGAGAATAAAGCATGATTTCAGTTCAAAGGAGTCTCTTTTGAATGCTTAAGTTTTATGTGATATTAAGGAGCATATCGACAGGTTGTATTTTGGCCTTTTTGCGATCTTTTGTCGAGCCTTTATGAGGAGTTTATATGCAGTTTGGAGCTTGAATTATGTGAATTTTTGCCTTACCTGTTGAGTTTTATTGAGGCTGCTGTACATGGGAATATTTGTGGTAAATAGTATGTGGAAAAATATCAGATTTTACGTTCGGCTTTATGGCCTTTTTGTTGTGCTCAGGTGTGAGTTAAAGTTGAAAGGGTTTAAGAGGTGTTTTATGTTTTGTTTTGGCTACCTTTATTGAGAGGCTTCGTTATGCTATTTTTATGCAGAAAAGTGTTGATTCATGTTGAATTTATGTGCATATTGCAGAGCTGGGTGGGGATTATTTTTCAGTTATTTGAATGGTTTAAAAAGCATGTTTTAGAGTTGAGGAATATGGAATTAGTTACATGTTTTATGAATCGTTATTGCTGTTTCTTTTGGGCTTTAAGTATGTGTTTAAGTTGCTGAATTTGAGTAAATTTCAGAGTTTTAATATTAGTTCCTAAGGCCTAGCTGTGTATAATTGCTGAAGGTTCCTCATGTGATTAAATGGTTGATTATGTTCTTAAAAGTTAGAATTTTGTTCAGCTCGTAAGGCCTTTTCAATTGCTTTTAAAACTTGAGGGAAGAAATGAAACATGTTTTGTTTTGGGCCTTGATTAATCATGTTCAGTGTTGAGCTTTTATGCGGGCTATATGTTGAATTGTGCCTTACTTGCTCTGTTTGTCATATTTGCTTGTGTAGCCTAATTAACCGAATCAAAACCCTTAATAATTAAATCCCTAATTTTTTAGGTTTGAAGAGTTGAGCCCTCTACCTACGTTCTTCAGCTTGTGTGTTATTGTCCACCCGAATTCCAGGTGGGTTTATTTAAATATCTATGCCGTAAATTATTTTATATTTTGCTGGACGGTATGACGGTATGATCAGTGTATGCGTGTGAACCATGTAGCCTGTCGATGTGTGCTGTTTCGGCCGTCGACATGGTTGTCCCCGTCGATGTAATATGGTGCCTAATGAAAGACAATCTCCCTAAGACCTAATGAAATGTCATGTTGTTGGTAATGTTGAGGCCTTCAACATGTACTCCCACCATTGGGTAATGAATCCCCTTCCATGGCTAATGAAAGGTGTGTACATAGAAGTATGATGTGATTAAGAGATGTGATATGTTGATTAATTCATGTTTATGCTGCGACCATACCTATCTGTCATATATATTTGATTTATGTGCATAGTAGTGAACAGGTGGCAGGCATGGCGACGAGGAGACGAGTGACCGGTTTGCATTTATGATTATATTTACTTCCGCATTATTATGTTAAAGCACGTTGAACTCGTTATTTACTTTTCAAACAATGAGGTTTTGGAAAATAATGTTTTGGGCATAATGGATTGATTGTAAACCCGATGAGTTGGCTTATTTTCTATGATATGAAACCTGATGTTTTGGTTTACTATGTTGTAATGCCCATGATGTGATGATTATGATTGTGTTGATTGGATAATGAAATCCTTGTGAAAACTCGGTAATGAATCCCCGATATTTCAGGCACGACTTGAACTAATGTATGAAACGAATGAGTAACGCCAAAAATGTTTTAAAATTGAAAAATGAGTTTCGGAATCTAACTATGATTTTTGGAAAAGTCATGGATTTTCTTTAAAAGTCAACAGGGCGTTACAGTGTGGTATCAGAGCAGGTCTACGTTTCTGTAGACTGCTTTATGTGACTTATGTGTTTATGTGACCTTATGTATGACCACTCGTCTTCGTCATGCCGCGCCAGCTTAAGGTATTCATAAGTGATGATAATATTGCTTATGAAATGTTTCGTTGTGCCTATTGGGGCTTAGAAATTTACCCTCCGTCTGTAAGGACTTGAACTCTAGAGGTTATCGAGTTAAGTTCTGTCTATAGTTTCTGTTTAGTGTCTTCGAGTGAGGACCATTCGCTAGCCATCTCGAAGAAGGCTTGAGTGAAGCGAGCAGACAACCGAAGAAGTCCCAGATGTGTGGGTTAATCGGAAGTCTGTAACCATTGTCAATAAGACCATTAGACGCGTGTTAGAACCCAGTCAATGAGAACCGGGAGTAGTGTCTAGGTGCGGGGTTCATGTTGATGCTTCGACCACTTTTGCTTGTAGGTCCGTGGAGAACGGTATAATGGCTGGTTTCCTTTGTTATAATTTGTTCGTTATTGTTTGTTTGTTTTTCGTTGGTTGGATTAGAAACATCTGTTGGTTAGTCAGTATATATATTGGTTCGTATGCTCGTTTTATTTGTTGGTTTGTTTTTTTGAATTCTTCGTGGATATCCAGAGCTCTCGATTTCTAAAACCGAGCCTCGAGTCGCTGTATTTGACCTTCGAAACTCGATCAAACGTTTTTGAACCCTTCTAATCTCTTATGTTCCATCTCGAGCAAGAATATTGTTATTATCATTTTTATTTTGAGAGCTGTGGCCAAGGTTTTGCGATGGCGTCCAGTCTGTATTTCCGATAATACATGTAGTCTGTTTTCTTTGATGTTTTTGAGTACTGTAACTTTATCGTCTCTTTCTGGTGTCTTCGCATAAATTGTAGTTTAATGAGTTATCTTTCTTTTGGAGAAAGAATCGAGTATTTATCATTTTTATATTAAAAATTGTGTTTCACGACCTCTCTTTGTTATTCAATTTTCATACTTTGGAAATTTCGCTTGATTTTCCTTTCCTTGCGTATAATTTCGGATGGAGTTAAGCATCAAAATTTTATCTTCTGTTGATCCTTATCTGTTTTCGAATCTTGTGTCGTGATACCGCTAAGTCGATGCGAAGGTTCAAGGAAACAAGTAGCGTTGCAGCTCTTGAGAATACCTTAGCCTCGAAATAGACGGCTGTCAATTATCCTTTGTGATCTAATTTAACGTTGTACTGGAGTGGCGTATGTGGGAATCATCGCATACCTGATCGAACCTCGACACCATTCTAGGATGTTTTGGGTATAGGAGAAGATTTTAAGGAGGGTAGTCGAGCCTGATGTAAGCACATCGTGAGGTGTAGAGCCGTCTTCGTTTTTTAATTTTGTTCATCGTGAAAACTCTCGTTCTTTTGTTTCCTTCAGAGTTTCGGGAGTAATCCTTTGTTTCTTCTTGGACTTTTGCAATCCTGTGAAGACTTCTGTTTTTGTTATTGGTTCGTTTGGAGTTTCGAATTCAAGTTTTGCAACCTGTGTATTATTTAAGACGAGTACTTTCATTTTTCCGCTTGTCTTATATCGTTCTTTCATTGTGGTTATGCCATTCGGACTGGATATTCCATTAGTACCCGAATCGGTTTGTCATGGTCTTTATCAATGACGTCCTGGTCTATTTTCGAGATGCGAACGAGACGAATCAACCAACTGGCGAAGGGTGACCAACTGCTAGTGAGAAGTTAGAACGTGGTCGATTAACTGAGAGTAGCTAAGGCTTTCTCGAAGATCGATTCGAGACCTAGCTACCACCAATGGAAGATGCAAGAGGGTCTGACGTACCAAGGGAGGTTTTTACGACGAGACCCAGAAACGTGAAAATCTTAGTCGTGTAGGAATTGGTCTCGTTTAGGACTGCCAACACGATTAGCTACCTGAGTAAGAGCTGACGTGACGGCCGACACTGTCAGTCGGGAGAGTCGAGCGAGCTAACCATTTCATTGTTCGGCAATGACCACTGGGTTGAGATTATTCTTGGCTAAAGATGCCGATATTCGATTTCTTTAGGAATTCCTCCCCATCTCTTTGATGTCCTCTTGAAATTGTATTGATTGGGAAAGAGGTGGTGAACTTGAAACTCGGTTTTATGCCTTGTGATGATTTGAAGCCCTTGAAACTTTTGAGACTGTTTAATGCCTAAATGTTAGAGGAAATTGTTTTGTTGAACCATATATTTCATTGTTTTGGAAGTTTTGTGAAAACCTTTTCTTTCCGGTTATCTTGGAAATTATTAACCCTGAATTAAAAAAATTCTTTTATGTACCTCGAACCGAAAGCCGACCTTGGTCGGGTGTAGCCATCACCTACATTTAGTGCTAAGAGAATAATATAAATACTACCTAAGATAAGGTAACCCTAATAGCCATGTGGCACAATCTTAGCCATCCATAACATGTTCCTGAACTACCCTACAAGAATGAGTTGGAAAAATGAAGTAATAATCTCCTACACATGAACCAATAGACTAACTGAAAATATATAATTCTAAACCATGTAAGTTAGAAATTTCCACGTACCCCATATAAAAGGATATCAAGGCTGATGAGTAGCCATTTCTATTGGCCTCTCTGTCTCTCTCACTTCCATATTCTTTTCGTCTCAAACTATACCCTATTCTTCAGCCATAAGTAAAAAAAAAATTCGTCGAGAATTTAGCTGAAGTATATGTTTAACCGACGATTCTCTAACGTTTTTCAGAAGGCCACTTGAAAAACACCTGAATTTCTTTTATTCGAGGTTAAAGAGAGATAAAAAAATGTAAAATCGACCTGATTTTACAAAATCGATTTATTGAGTTGTAGTATTGCGGTTCCAATCAGACAATAATAGCTCAGGTCTATGAAGATCTAAAATTTTTGAATTTTAAATTTATTTTGTTTGAAAAAACTAAGTTATGTTTTTTTTTCTTAAAAAAAGATTTAAGGTGTTTTTCTCCTCTTACTTTTTAAAGATTTTTGGTTTATTCTTTTATAACCTATATGGATATACGCCGATCTGAGATGTTTTATTATATTTTTATAGTGTTTTGTAACATGTTACCATTTATATTCATAGGACTAAGGCTGTTTTTTTGGTTTTATTACCAAATTTCTGTGAAATTTTGAGGTATGTAAAGATTTCAAAATATATTATTATAATTTTTCATAAAATAGTGCAAATATTGAATCGATCTGTTTACATATGAAACACTTTTACATGTTTTATTTTTCTAAAAAAATTGTAGATCTATGTTCAAGAACAATATTTTTTTTTCTTAAAATTTAAGCTCATTTTTAACAAATCGATTGCTAATTAAAACTGTATTTTCGATTTCTTATATGTTTTACAAAGATTAACATTTGTATCAAAATTTATGTTCGAATATTGAAGTATAGTTAAATTTTGTAATCAAATGTAAGTTATATTTCTAACAAATATGTTTTTCTGTGTAACAGATCTGCGAGTGCATCAAGATATGCTCGGCAAACAATGATATTACGTGTACAGACAACAAACAATTCAATAAAAACTGAAATTAAACTGCAGTCGGTCAGAGGTAGAGGTACGTTTAATTTTGATTAACTTTTATTTATTCGCAGTTTTTTATTTAATTTGTATAACAATAGTTGTCGATATGCGATTTTTTTTCACCCCTTGAATTTCTTGAATCTTTTTGTATTCGTGTAGAATGAAAAATGTTCCTGTATGAGGAGGAATATAGCTTTCTTTCTTTCTGTATTTTTTGTTGGAAGAGGATGAATAGNCTCTCTCATGGCCCTATATATAGACATGCCTTTTTAACAAGTGGGCCAATTAAAAATAGATAAGAATGGTATATTAGTTTTTAATGTGATACATCGTGGGGTCCGATCATGACACTTGACGGCTTCGATTGACGTTTACTTTATCGACAATTATTGTGTCTTTCGGAGACGGATCTTCGTGATACTCGAGTCGGGCGAGTGATATTTAATTCTGCTCTGCTCGGATGTGGACGATCTTGAGTTTTGGGAACTCGATTGATATCGAAGGATCGTCTCGGAGGACCTGTTATTTTTAAAATATATTTAATACATATCCACGTATGACATTTTTATAAATCGAAGCCAAATTGGGTATCAACAAGAGGCCCGCTTTAGGACATCTTATGAACAAAACTGTTCTGAAGTCGCGTTTATTATCAATTCAGTGGACTTTTACTTATAATTTTTATGACCTTGGGGCTCTTTACGCTATGATAAATAACTTATCGAAGTTATCTGGGTGCTTTGGGACCTGTGGACGTTTTGTTGATTGTTTTCAGACTTTGGCTCGACGTTTTGTATGTTAGTCGTGCTTTTCTGTGACGAATTGAGTCAATGGCATGGGTTGTCAATTCTTTTAATTGACACTAGCACCAACTGCACGAAACAATACCGTTTCGCTGGAACAAATGTAAAAAAGAAAGATTTTCAAACGGGAAAAAAAATCAGAAAATTTATCACGTTTTGGAGGATCCATTTGTCAATGGCAAGAAATGCCACGTGTCGGGTACTCAATGTCTAACAATTATACTTATATGTGTAAAATAAAAGAAGAAATGTTATGTACTAATTAATTTGATTTGAAAATAATTTATTTTTTTCAAAATTTAATTATATTGTAATAATATATATATTATATATATATGGTTCTATCATATTTTCAAATATCTTCAACTTTATAATATTCAATAAATTAAAGTATTATATGTATCAGTGTAATATTTTTAATCTTTATAAAATATAATAATTATTTTTATTATTTTTAATTTAGTTTTTGTTAAGATTTTATTTAATGTCATTATAATGTTCAATATCTTTGTAGTCTTTATTGAAGTTGAGACAAAAGTTTGAATATTTTTTTTATATTCATACATAGTTTATATATAGTTTTTTCTAATTAAAAATTATTTTATTTTATGTTATGTTAATATAAAACCATTTCTATTTATATTGTCGACTCATATGTTTGGTAGCATAAGAACATAAATAATAACTATCTGAGTATTAAGTTGGTAATGTAACAATGTTTTTTTAATGATTTTACAATATCATTTTTTGAATATAAAAAAACTAAAAAAATTCTAAATATCTTAAATTGAATGAGAGTAATTTTTAGTTGAACATGTGGTAAAATATGATTTTTTATAGCTCACCATTGAGTTTAGTGAATAGCTCAAAATTAGTTAGAATGCAAAATGGACGTGTTTGGTGACCGAGCGGACTTTGAGCATGCATGTTGCCACTAGCAACACCCCCTCGTCGTTCATTTGATTATAACCGTGAAATTTCGGTGCATTTAATTTTGTTGTACATTTAATTTTGTGGTCGTTCATTTCATGAGGTACAAACACGAATAAGTTTGCTAAGATTTTGTGTATTTAATTTTAAATGTCGCTGTATATAAATAAAAGTCGCTAGATAACTGTGAAATTAATCGGTGGATCATCAATATTTCATCTTATAAGATAAGAGCATGTTTCGACTTTATATTATTTAGTTAGGGTGGTTAATTGGTTCAAGTCCATTAATTGTAAAGTTTGTTTGTGATATATCGTTTGTTCCATTTCATGCAAAACCAAGATACATGTTAACAATAACAACCAACTTAATTGGTTGAACTTATGATCACATGTTTTAATTTTACTTGATTATTGAATTTATGACACTGAGAACAAATTTCTTGAACTTATATGTCTCCACGAATCATCTCTACATAGATTCCTAACCAAATATTCCTAATATACCCATTTTTTAATGGTAAACAAAAAATTATACATGAACTTATTTTAAATAGTAAAATTAAGTAGGATTTCAATGGTATACAATATTCAATCACTTATTTTATTTATTTTAAATATTATCATATTGCATTTGAAATAATGTCTTATTATTTTCTTATATAATGTGTAGTGTTAGAATGTAGAAAAAATTCTCTTTAAGAAAAGAAATGACTTAGTAAAGGTATGAAGAGAACACAGCTACATGGTCGTAAATTTAATAATATATATATGCTATTTGATAAATCATGTAATATTCAACCTTCAAAATTATTAGAAATAGGCTTTATATATTTCCTTAATCATATATTTGGGTTGATCCTAAGCAAATATTTATACAGTGAAAAGTGAAAACTAATTTCGTTCTAAACGAGATTTTCCCTCTACAAATTTTGTCTGACCCTTAGAGGGTATATATGTCATTTGTCATTCTTTGTCAGTGGAGCCCACCGCGTCGAGTGGGTACGCTTGTAACCCTAAAAAATGAGCTTTTCTTGAGGCGAACTCGCTCTGAAATACGAATCCTTATTCTTTTCCATAACATTTTTCTTCATCCCTCAAAAGTGCAGTTCTTATTCAAGAAAAATCATTTTCATTCTCTTGTATTTCTCAACAGATTTTTTTTCTCTCTTTTTTTTTTTTCCTGTACCAAGCGTTTACCTTCTTCCTTTCATGGTTCAATATCAACAACTCCTAACTCGTTTCTTTGATTCGCAGTCCCAAGCTTACACAAAGTAGATTTTCGACCTTTGGCCCAAAAATTTCAGGTTATCGGCCATGCCTATGAATATTTTCGTGAGATGTATGTGCTTTTAGTGGAATTTTGGGCTCCAAAAATCCACGTAACTTGTTTTCTTCTCGACTTACCTTTTGATGTATTTTTTATCTGCTCTTTGATTTTCGTGTTTTCAGATCTTAAAAGTCATATATCCAAGTGTTTATCTTCTTCCTTGCCTAGTTCAATTTCATCAACCCCTAACTCGTTGCTTTGATTGTAGTCCCAAGCACGTTGGCCCAAGCATACACAAAGTAAATTTTCGACACCTCAGCCAAAAAATTGCAGGTTATTGCAGGTTATTGGACATGCCTATGAATATTTACGTGAGGTGTGTGCTTTTAGTGAAATTTTGGGCTCCAAAAATTCACGTAGCTTGTTTTCTTCTTGACTTGTCTTTTGATGTATTTTTTACCCGCTCTTCGATTTTCATGTTTTCAGATCTTAAAAATCATATGTTACTTCAAGCTTTATTTTCTGTTTCTCCTGATATTTAATTTTTTATTTTTGTTTCAAATTATACATTCACGTTGAATATCCGTTGGCTGATGTGTATTATGCAGTCTTGATGTTTTTTGGTTTTGGGGATTAAAAACAGTCAATGTCTCCATTGAATCTATAAATATCTTTGTAACCAATAAGTATTTTTACAAAGAAAATGTATCTTTACAATGAAAATGTATCTTATTCCTTCTTTTTTTTTTTGAAATATAGCACTTCATAACTTAGTGCTGTAAACGAGTCGAGCCGATCTTGGCTCGTTAAATAAACGAGTCGAGCTGAGCTTGGCTCGTTAAATGAACAAGCTAAAAATCGAGCTTGAGCTCGAGATCGGCTCGTTAAGGCTCGAGCCTTAACGAGCCTTAACGAGTCGATCTCAAGCATTAACGAGCTGAACTATAAAAAATTATATAAAAAATCGTTTTTCGAGCCTATCGAACCGAGTCGAGCTTGGCTCGTTAACTAAACGAGTTTTAAATAAGCTCGAGCTCGGCTCGTTAAGACTTTGAACTCGAGCCGAACTTGAGCCTAAAGAGCCGAGCTCGAGACGAGCCGAGCCAGGCTCGTTTAATTTAACAACACTCTTCATAAGAGTCTAACAAGTGCTTAGAACTCGCCATGTTCAATGTTGTTTCAGATGGAGGTAAAAAACAGAGCAAAGAACACTTACCATTTCAGAATAAATCTAACGAGGTCCTCCAGGGCCTATAGCTACTTCATTAATAAACTTCGGAGATATTTATAATTTGTAAGAAATCAAACTGTGGTGGTCAAATCTCAAGCTAAAGAAGGAAACAAATATTTCTATGTGAATATGGTGGCAGCAAGTGGTGACGTACTCAGTGTTGTGTTTAGATAGAATGACCTCTATCTGATTGGATATGAGGTCGACCTCAAGATGTATGAGCTAAAACAAACTCACCATCAAACGAAACTCACAATAGCCGGTGCCACGTTGGTTGAACTTACCATGGATTATCAGGGTTTACCGAGGCACAGTAACGCCTACCTTGGAGGTTGCGAATGCATGGAAAAGTGTATAACAACACTCAAAGCTGAAGTTTTTTCGAAGAAGGCAGTAACAAGATATCTTTTAACCATGACAATAACCTTTTCTGAGGCAATGCGATTCTGCATTTCGACTCAAGTGAGTTTTAAGAAACCTGTTCCAGGTTGCATTGACAATTTAGTGAACAAATGGAGGAAGTTGTCCTAGCTGATTGATGCCTATTTTAGTCTGATGATACGATCATTGTTGAGTTGCGCCCTGATGAAATTGAAATATGTTGCCTGGGTGAAACAAGTGGAAGATTCATCTGGGTGGAATCAAATCATGGCGTTTCAGAGATCTCTGTTGTCAGTATTTTTAACCGGAGTAGAATCGGAAGATTCGTTCCCCGGGTCGTATCTCAAGGAAGGTTAGCCGGATATAATTGTTCGATTATTCAATCACAAAAGAAGATAAAAATCCTAAACACTCTAATTCGGTGATTTGGGTTTCAATTATCAACTACCAACTTTAAATTAAATTAAGCACGAAATGAACAATAACGAATTAACTGAGAATTTAAAGAGCTAGGGAATCGGGGACAACTGCTTTCGGTTCTTACACAACTACCGGCAATCAATTGCTCGGTTAAAGGAAGTGAATCGTCTCTCGTTTAGAGGTTCACTCTCAATAACTCTTCGTAACAAGAGAGTGAACATATACGATTAGCTATCAAATCCAGTAACTCATAGACAATACTTTGACGAACAAGTCTATTCTAAACGAGCCTAAATCGATCAATGTCTCCCCTTTCGGTTCTAAACAATGATTAACTAGGTTATATAGGTGATCAATCTATTAACCCTAAATTGAACTCAACTCGTATAGATATGAACAATTAAGAACAAGCAATTATAATTGAACCTAATCAATTATCCCCTATCCCTAGCAGATGGATTTAGCTACTCATATTGGATTTCAACATTAACATTTTCACAAACCCAAGCCATCATCATCAACAAGAGATTGAGAAAAATAACTTACGATTAATATAGAGAATCCAATGTCAAATCCAAGTGCATCCAAATCCAAAGCAAGAAATAGGAGTTGTCAATCTCCCAAAACAATTCAAAAGTGCGAAAGAAAGAAAAGGAATGAGTTTCTCCAGAGAAAAAGTGTAAAAACGAAGTCTGAAAACTGAATAATGAACCCTAGGGTCGAATTCTGCTCTAAAAATCCCGTCCTCGAAATTCGCGCCCGACAAAGTCGCGAGTCGCGACTTACTCGCGAGTCACGAGATGGACCTTTTCTTCGCTCGCGAGTCGCGACTTCCTGGCGAGTCGCGCGCCGTCAAAATATAAATTTCTGGGGTTAAGTCGCGAAATATCTCGCGAGTCGCGACGCTGTGTCGCGAGTCGCGACATCATCTCGCGAGTCGCGAGTTCTGCTCGACACTGCACCATAAGCCTTTGTTTTTTTCGCGGGTCGCGACATTCGCTTGAGTCGCGACTTGACTCGCGAGTCGCGACTTTTTCTGGGCACAGTTTCTGTCGGCTTTTTCAGTCCTTCCTCGAGTTTTCTGGGCTCGGTAACGGATGTTCTTGATATCACAGTCTCGGCTCACGCAATTCTAACCTCGACCGGCACAACCTACCTCCTGAAAACACAACACAGAAAAAAAACACGAAGCAAAACACAGCAAAAAGATACAAAAATATAAACTAAAGACAAAAACACAAAACGAACGAAATGGACCAAATAAACTACAAAAATCCTACAAATGGGGGAAAACGAAAAGAAAATAAGCCTGAATTAAGGACACAAAAATGGGACAAACAACTCCCCCACACTAAGACCTTTGTTCGTCCCGAACAAAGAGAAAAGAAAAGAAGAGAGAAGAAAAGAAAAGAAAAGACACGAAAGAAGAAACGAGTCTGGACATCAGTCGATAACAAGATAAGTCTCAACACGTTCAACTTCAACAATGAGCATTCAAATGGCACATACGAACATCACACAACTACATGCTTGGTCGCTAAACTTCAATATGACGTCCACTCAAATATGGGAATGTCTATGTGTGCCTCACTCACTTTCTTATACAAATAAGGATATGGATGCACTCAAATTGGTCAATAACAAGTTCAATCATAAGCTTGCCCATTGTCTAACTTCTACTCCAAACCAATCAAAAACTGCAACTAGTGAATCAAAAGGTCTTTCAGGGTTGTAACGTAGGCTCTTTGGACAGGTGGGATAAATATAGGCTAAGTGGCTCGAACATAATTCAAACTCCTAACCCAAGAATGCACGCTCATCCGGTTACTCAAACAAACCGGACCTCCCCCACACTTCTCCTAAAAACACACAATTACACCCAACTTATTTTGGTTTGTTTTTTTTCTTTTTTTTTTTTTCTTTTTTTTTTTGGTGCGACCCTATTAGGTCACTTTTTCTTTTTTTTTTTCTTTCAACCTCTTGGACAATGACAATCCATTCGGCTACATTTTTTCCCTTTTTTTTTTGTTTTTTCTTTTTTTGAGACAATAAACAAACTCCACAATTATCCTCTCCCATTCTCAACCCGAAACGCAATAATGTCATCATCACGGGGTTATAAAAGAAAACAATTAGGCTCAAAAGGGCAACTAGGGAATAACTGCAGAAAAAACAAGGATAGAAAGATACAAAAAATGCCTTAATCATATTCACAGTTCACAACTCAGATTGATTCATTTCGAAGCAGACTCAGGGCAAGTTCTAATCAAACAAGAGCATGACCAATGTATCTCAAGAAAGAAATAGGGCTCAAACCTCACTAGGTAAATATATGAGTGTCACTCAAAGTCATTAACCAAGCATTTCATCATGTTATGCCATACAATACCATCATCACAACTCATTGAATTCATTAAACATGTCTTAACTCATCATGCATTTTCCAAGTACAGACTCCAAAAATCCTACACTAGACTGGTCCACAAGCAAAAGAAAGAAATAAAACACACCCTAAAACAAGAAAAAACAACTAGACCCGGTCAATCATGCAGCCACATAAACTCCCCCACACTGAAAGTCAGACAATGTCCCCATTGTCGATCCGCAGCGAAAGGAAGATGTACTTACACAATCAACCGACAAGACACAACAAAGAGAAAAGACAAAAGAGAAACAAAATAAAGAGAAAAGAAAAAGAAAAGCTAACCAACACAGTGACAAGTCACTGTGGACCAGGAGGAGGAGACGGAGGAGGAGGAAAAGGCTGGCCGGTGCCGGAGCTCCACTGAGTGTACCGCGCGTCCCACTGGGTCTGCCAGGCCTCGATAGCCTGAAAGCGGAGGTCGGCGCTGTCGAATCGGGCACTGAAGTCGCGCATGTCCCGATTGTAGCGGTCCTCGAACGCCGACCACCACGGAGGAGGCTGGGACCACCATGGTGGCGGAGCAGAGGGCTCGGCGGGGCGCTGCGGCGAACCCGCGGGTCGGGGTTCCTGAAAATCAGCCTCCGGGGCCGGCAGCCAACCAACAGGCGGCGGAAGGCGATGGTCCTCGTCGATAAGCTCCTGATCGTGCGCCATCACCTCCGGCTCCGGCGGAGGACGAGACGATCCTGACTGAGCGGCGGCAGCGGCGGCCGCGACCTTGTTCGCATAGGTGGCGTAAGCCTGACGCTGAGGATAGGCCACGAAGGTGTGTCGATCCACGATGAGGCCCGAATGCGACAGCTCAAAAGAATCAATGCGCCGCATCAAAACCGGGGGGCTGCCAGACGCCACAGGATCGAGGCCGAAATGCAAAGCGAACGCCGTCACCACATGCCCAAAACAGGCGATTGTACGCGTAGTCCGGGTGACAGCCCGGAGCTCGTCCGTGACGATATGCAACACATTCCGAGGCTCATTCCGGAGCATAGACCAGATGACGACGAGATCATTCTGAGAGACCTTATTCGCCTCCTTCTTCCCGAAGAGGCCATAGCACAAGAACTTGTGCATGACGGCAATCGCGCCGCTCTCAATGAGGCTATTAGCCATGCCACGGGAGTCCCAGACCGTGTCGAGAGAAATCTCGGTCCAGAAACGAGACGGTGTCATAGGCGCCCAACCGCTACGGCCTTCATTACGGAGGCCCAAGACGCGGTCCATGACGGCGGCATCAATTATCACCTTAGTACCAAGCAAACGGCACGTCATGTACTCGGAGCCATCGGAATTCTTCCGAAACTCGAGGGTAGAGAAGAATTCGAGTGTGAGGTTCTGATAGGTCGGATGAAAAACGTCGGCATACTTCCGCAAGCCAAGCGTGTCAAGGTACTGCTGGATCGTCGCTAAAATACCAAGGTCGGAGAGCAAGGTGAAGTCGAATGTTTTGGATTTCAAGACCGCCTTCGGCGCGAGCCGGGCGTAAACTTCCCCCTCGCGTTCGGAGAGAATGGGAAATGGGGCATTGTAATCGGCCCGTAGATCAACTTGCCCGTCCCGAGAAGCAGAGGACTCTCCGACAGACTTCTTACGCTTGTTACCGGCCCCTTTCCTCACCATGTTGAATATGAACGTCACTCAGGCAAACAATCGAACACCTTATAAGCACGGGCCCGAACCACTAGCGTGGAGAGAATCGAGATAGTGCAGCCCCGTTCCTCAATCAAGGTACTCAACAAACGACCCAAACAATATCAATGTTCCACAATAAACCAAGAATGACTGAGATTACGATTACCGGGCGCCGAATCGAGAGGCCGAGTTGGACACAGGGTCGAAGTTGTTGGAGTGACCGCGAGCAGTCGATCGCGAGCTTGTGGTTGTTGCCGGATAGGTGGTGATTGGTCGGAATTCGAACGACGGGAAGGATGCAGAAAGGGCCGAGGGTTCTGGTCGCGCGAGAGAGAGAGTGCGAGTGAGAGCCCAATGTTGCTGCCGCCGGAGGAACCAAGGTTGACGGTAGTCGAAGGGACGTGGACCGAAAATCGTGAGATGGCTGGCCGGAGGTGAGCAGTCGACGGCGGTGGTCTACGGCGGTGGCTGGGCGTTGGAGGTCGCAATTGACGAAAAGGGGACAAGGGTTCCCGATTCCAGTCGCGAGGTGGGTTGAGCGGACGCGTCGGGAAAGGGCCCGCTGGTGGAAAATCGTCGGTGGTCGGAGGTGGAACGGAGATGACGGCGATGTGGGCGGAAGGAGTGGAGACGACGACCGTTGAATCGCGAGAGGGTCGTCGAAGAAAACAAAGGCGGAACTTGCTCGTCGCGAGAGAAATTGGGGAATTCTGCACAAAATAAACGACGGATCAGATATTAATCACAGGTAAGTCGCGAGTTCAAATCGCGAAAAAGAAACGAGTCGCGACATTAGCTCGCGAGTTGCGACATAGGACTCGCGACTCGCGAGAAAAACAGAGAGCGACAGCAATATATACGTGGGGTAACTCGCGACTCGCGACATACACGCGAGTCGCGACTTCAGTGTCGCGAGTCGCGATGCTGTTCCGCGACTCGCGAGAAAAACAGAGAAGAAAGGCCCTAAGGCGTGGGCTAACTCGCGACATGTCTCGCGAGTCGCAATTTTTTTTTTTTTTTCATCAAATAAAGCAGGTAATAATATATATATACACATAGTACAATAAAAGCTCGGTTTTAAGCCGAGAGCTCGGCATTGGTGCCGTAAATCAAGGATACGCGGGGTCGCCGAGACTGATGGTCTCGACGTGATACTTCCCAAACTCCCCATCGAAGTATGGCTTCACTCGCTGTCCGTTGACCACAAATAACTCGCCGTTAGCTGGATTGCGAAGTCGAATGGCCCCAAAAGACAACACCTCCTCAATAACATATGGGCCACTCCACCGGGACTTCAATTTTCCCGGAAAAAGACGGAGTCGGGAATTGTACAAAAGAACACGCATACCCGGTACCAGCTCTTTTCTAACAATGTGGGCATCATGGAGTCTCTTCACCTTGTCTTTATAGATCTTGGCATTCTCATATGCTTCGTTCCTTCTTTCTTCCAACTCTGATAGTTGCAACAGTCTGGCTTTTCCGGCTGCATCCAGATCAAGGTTCGTCTTCTTAATGGCCCACAAGGCCTTGTGCTCAATCTCCACTGGTAAGTGACAAGACTTCCCATAGACGAGTCTGAAAGGGCTCATTCCCAAGACGCCTTTGTATGCTGTTCGTTGGGCCCACAAGGCGTCGTCAAGCCGGCTCGACCAATCCTTCCTCGATGAGTTGACCGTCTTCTCTAAGATGGTCTTTATCTGCTTATTGCTTGTCTCCGCCTGGCCCGAGGTTTGTGGGTGATAGGGAGTAGCCACTTTATGTGATATGCAATACTTCTTCATCAGCTTCTCGAAAAGCTTGTTGCAAAAGTGCTTCCCTCCATCACTCACAATTGCTCTTGGGAACCCAAACCTACTCAATATATACCCTTGCACAAACTTGATCACGATATTAGCATCACATGTCTTTGTGGGGATAGCCTCAACCCACTTAGACACGTAATCTACGGCAAGTAAAATGTACTCATAGCCATTAGACTTAGGAAATGGTCCCATGAAATCAATGCCCCAGACATCAAAAATTTCGACTTGAAGGTTATTAGTCAAGGGCATCTCATTTCTGCGACCTATATTCCCAGTTCTTTGGCATCGATCACAAGAGCGACAAAAAGTGTGAGCATCTTTGAAAAGTGATGGCCAGAACAAACCTGATTGTAGTACCTTAAAGGCGGTTTTCTGACCGCCAAAGTGGCCTCCACAGTGAAACTCATGGCAAAATGTAAGGACATCGACTTGCTCCTCTTCCGGTACACATCTCCTAAGCACCTCGTCCTTTCCCATCTTGTAAAGGAACGGCTCATCCCAGAAGTAGTCCCTACACATAGAAATAAAACGCTTTCTCTCTTGGGAAGAGAGGTCAGGCCGCAGTTTCCCACAACACAAGAAATTTACAATGTCAGCATACCAAGCACTTTTCGACACTTCATGCGCATGCTCATAAGGAAAATTATCATTAATAGAATGATGCACAATCAATGAAGATGGTGAGTCAGATGGGACTATGCGTGACAAGTGATCAGCAACTACATTCTCACAACCTTTCCTATCTCTAATGTCTACATCAAACTCTTGCAGTAACAAAATCCACCGGATGAGCCTTGGTTTAGAATGAGTTTTGCTCAAAAGGTACTTCAAAGCCGCATGGTCTGAGTGAATAATTACCTTAGATCCCAAAATGTAAGATCTAAATTTTTCAAGAGAAAAGACCACGGCTAGAAGCTCCTTCTCGGTGGTAGTATAATTCTGTTGGGCTCCATTAAGAGTCAAACTAGCATAATAAATCACTCTAAGCAACTTATCAACTCGTTGACCCAAAACGGCGCCCACTGCGAGGTTAGATGCATCACACATAATTTCAAAAGGAAGAGACCAATCAGGGGCAATGACAATAGGGGCACTCACAAGCTTGCTCTTTAGTTCATTAAAAGCACTCAAGCAAGCATCATCAAAAATAAATGGTACATCCTGAGCAAGCAAGTGGCATAATGGTTGACTAATTTTCGAAAAGTCCTTAATAAAACGCCTATAAAACCCCGCATGCCCAAAGAAACTCCTAATCCCCTTAACATTCACAGGAGGGGGAAGTTTTTCAATAACATCTACCTTAGCCTTATCTACTTCCATCCCCCTACTAGAGACAACATGGCCTAACACAACACCACTCCTAACCATAAAGTGACTTTTCTCCCAACTCAGAGTTAAATTAGATTCAATGCAACGCTCAAGGACACGAGACAAGTTATGGAGACAATGCGTAAATGAATCACCAAAGATAGAGAAGTCATCCATAAATACCTGCAGGCAGTCCTCAAGCATGTCCGAGAAGATGGAGAACATGCACCTCTGAAATGTACCCGGTGCATTGCATAGGCCAAAGGGCATCCATCTGAACGCGAAGGTGCCAAATGGGCACGTGAAAGTCGTCTTTGGCTGATCCTCAGGTGCTATAGCCACTTGGTAGTAGCCAGAGAGTCCATCCAAAAAGCAGTAGAACTGATGGCCCGAAAGACGATCAAGGATCTGGTCAATAAACGGCAACGGGAAATGGTCCTTCTTCGTCTCCGCATTCAGTCGCCGATAGTCAATACACATGCGCCACCCAGTAGTGATGCGGGTGGGGACCAACTCCTTCTTATCGTTCTCGACCACGGTTATGCCCCCCTTCTTGGGCACCACATGAATAGGACTGACCCACTCACTACTCGCCACTGGATAGATCAACCCTTCAGAGAAAAGCTTCAACACCTCCTTCTTGACCACCTCCATCATATTCGGGTTTAGCCGTCGCTGGCTATCCCGAAACGGCTTGGCTCCCTCCTCCAAGATAATCCGGTGCATGCATGTAGATGGACTGATCCCTTTGATGTCTCCCAGGCTCCACCCGATTGCTTTTTGGTTCTTCCGAAGCATAGCAATCAGCTCCTCTTCTTCCTCACGGTCAAGCTCAGCAAAAATGATCACCGGTTTCTGTTGGGCATCATCCAAGAAGACATACTTAAGGTGCTTGGGCAGCTCCTTAAGCTCGAGTGTGGCCTCAGCTCGGGAATGGCCCTCTCCTGCTTCAAAAAGCTCAACTATAGGTTCATCCTCATACTCGAAAACCGGCATAGATATCTCCTCGAACTCGTGAATGACCATCTCATCAACAAAGGGGTCGGCTAGATCCACGAAAGCACATTCTTCTACAAAGTTAACCGAGGAAGCTGACATAGCTCCCCGCACGAAAATAGACACCGATTCCCCCAACACAGTCATGTTCAGGGTCCCATTCTTCACATCAATAAAGGTATTCGTGGTCGCCATGAAAGGTCTCCCGAGAAGGATGGTGTGATCCTTCCCATTCTCGTGCACATCTCCAACGTCTAAAACAACGAAGTCGACAGGAATGATAAGCTTACCCACTTTCACGAGAACATCCTCGACTATCCCCTTCGGATACCGTATGGAACGGTCCGCTAACTGGAGGCACATGCGAGTCGGCCTNTGCGGGTCGGCCTCAACTCCCCAAGACCAAGCCTCTGAAAAATCGAGAAGGGCATGAGGTTTATTCCGGCTCCGAGGTCCAGCATCCCCGAAGCTACCTTCCCGTTTCCCAAGGCTATCTGAATAATGAAACCACCGGGGTCCCGTTCCTTCTTAGGCAAGTCATGCTGCATTGCGCTTGCCGCCTCATACACAACCACTTTCTCTCCATCCTCGAACTTCCTCTTCTTCGTCACCAAGTCTTTAAAAAACTTCCCATAGGATGGCATATTCTTGATCACGTCAAGGAGTGGCAAGTTGACATTCACTTTAGAGAGCATGCTGAAAAGATCCCGGAACTGCTTCTCTTGCTTCTCGTTCCTAAGTCGGTCCGGAAAAGGGATACGAGGCTTGTATAGATTCGGCGACTTATGTAGCACCGGCTCTTCTGTCTCCTTCCCCGGCTCTGCTTCCTGGATCTTTTCTGAATGAGTCTCCTTATCTTCGGGCTCGGGCATCTGTACTTTGTTGTCCACTTCCTTCCCGCTTCTGAGTACAGTGATGGCTTTAGCGTCCTCGGGCTGACTAGGCAACTTCCCTTTGTTCATCTCGGTCTCAATAGTTCCGACCCGAGTAGCCAGTTGGCCTAACTGTGTCTCAATGCGCTTGATGGAGGCATCCTGATTGACATCTCGCTGCTCTCTGTTAGCCATAAACTGAAGGATTTTGGCAACATCGTCTTGAATGTTTGAACTTGACCCGGCTTCTGGTCCCCTCTGCTGCTGCTGCTGCTGTGGCTGGTAGTTCGGACAGGGCACAAAGTTGGGTCGAGGTTGTTGCTGCATGAAATTAGGACGGGGTGGCTGAAGGGTGTTCGAGTTGTTCGACCATGAGAAAGCTGGGTGATTCCGCCATCCTGGATTGTACGTATTCGAATATGGGTCATTGCCAGGCCGGGCTTGGTATCCTTGTAAGGCACTGGCGTCTGCATACTGCTCACCGAACTCCTGGTCGAAAGCTGAAGGGCACACTTCAGACCTATGGCCTGGGACTCCACAAGCCCCACACGTGTCAATGGCCATGGTCTGAATCGGCTAAGCTCCTCGTGCATTAAGTAGACGCATCTGCTCTGTGAGCTCGGCTAACTGCTGGGCCATCACATTGCTTCCCGGACCGACCTCGTTCACTACCACTCTCTTCCCTCGGCTGCTCTTCTGCGACGAGTTCGTGCTCATCGTCTCAAAAATTGCAAACATCTCCTCAGCTGTCTTCGCTCCAATATCTCCTCCAGCCGCATTGTCAACCATATACTGCAAGTTTTGATGGAGGGAGTCGTAGAAGCAGTTGATCAGTAGCCCCGGAGAGAGGTTGTGATGAGGACACTGCCGCTGGAGGTCCTTGAACCGCTCCCAAGCCTCGTGAAGAGGCTCGTTCGGTAGTTGAGCAAATGAGACGATCTGCGACCGGAGCTCCTGGGTCTTCTGATGGGAGTAGTATCTCCCAATGAACTTCGTGTATACGTCAGTCCAGGTAGTGAGAGAGTCCGGTGCGAGGGTCATAAACCAGGACTTGGCCCGATCCTTCAGTGTCTCTGGAAAACACCTCATCTTCAGTTGCTCTTCTGTAAGCCCGTGGAGAGGGAAGGTCTGTAGCACATTGTAGAATTCCCGAATGAAGTTAAGCGGGTCTTCATTCGGGAGCCCGTGAAAGGATGGCAGCTGGTTGTAATGGATCATCTTAAGCTCGTAGTTCCGAGCTTCTTGTGGCAACCGGATGCATGAGGTTATCGGCCCAATCGTCGGATGGGCTAGGTCTCGAAGGGTGTTGCGAGGCAGTTGTTGCTGTTGTTCATCCATGACGACGTTACTGCCTTCTGACGAATTCGGGGAGTGTTCGTTTCCTTCGTTAGTCTCGAGAGTAAGCTCTTCCAGCAGCTCCCTCAGGCTCTCGTTGACTGATTTGTTGATCGGAGATAGCAATTTGCGTCCACTCCTGGTACGCATACACTAAGACCAACAAGGGTTACGAGCACCAATGATAAAACAAAATAAAAACAAAATAAAACACGAATTAACACCTAACAAATAAAAAGAAATCAAGAGAAACACGGAAACAAGGAAAATCACAAGAAATAAGAGAAACACTAAAAACAAAATGAATAGGCGCACAATTATAATCCTAAACCTTCCCCGGCAACGGCGCCAATTTTGTTGTAGCAAAATATATTTTTACCGAGCACCGAATCGAAAGATTCGTTTCCCGGGTCGATCTCTCAAGGAAGGTTAGCCGGATATAATTGTTCGATTATTCAATCACAAAAGAAGATAAAAATCCTAAACACTCTATTATCAATATTTGGGGTTTCAATTATCAACTACCAACTTTAAATTAAATAAAGCACGAAATGAACAGTAACGAATTAACTGAGAATTTAAAGAGCTAGGGAATCGGGGACAACTGCTTTCGGTTCTTACACAACTACCGGCAATCAATTGCTCGGTTAAAGGAAGTGAATCGTCTCTCGTTTAGAGGTTCACTCTCAATAACTCTTCGTAACAAGAGAGTGAACATATACGATTAGCTATCAAATCCAGTAACTCATAGACAATACTTTGACGAACAAGTCTATTCTAAACGAGCCTAAATCGATCAATGTCTCCCCTTTCGGTTCTAAACAATGATTAACTAGGTTATATAGGTGATCAATCTATTAACCCTAAATTGAACTCAACTCGCATAGATATGAACAATTAAGAACAAGCAATTATAATTGAACCTAATCAATTATCCCCTATCCCTAGCAGATAGATTTAGCTACTCATATTGGATTTCAACATTAACATTTTCACAAACCCAAGCCATCATCATCAACAAGAGATTGAGAAAAATAACTTACGATTAATATAGAGAATCCAATGTCAAATCCAAGTGCATCCAAATCCAAAGCAAGAAATAGGAGTTGTCAATCTCCCAAAACAATTCAAAAGTGTGAAAGAAAGAAAAGGAATGAGTTTCTCCAGAGAAAAAGTGTAAAAACGAAGTCTGAAAACTGAATAATGAACCCTAGGGTCGAATTCTGCTCTAAAAATCCCGTCCTCGAAATTCGCGCCCGACAAAGTCGCGAGTCGTGAGATGGACCTTTTCTTCGCTCGCGAGTCGCGACTTCCTGGCGAGTCGCGCGCCGTCAAAATATAAATTCCTGGGGTTAAGTCGCGAAATATCTCGCGAGTCGCGACGCTGTGTCACGAGTCGCGACATCATCTCGCGAGTCGCGAGTTCTGCTCGACACTGCACCATAAGCCTCTGTTTTTTTCGCGGGTCGCGACATTCGCTTGAGTCGCGACTTGACTCGCGAGTCGCGAGAAAGCTCGCGAGTCGCGACTTTTTCTGGGCACAGTTTCTGTCGGCTTTTTCAGTCCTTCCTCGAGTTTTCTGGGCTCGGTAACGGATGTTCTTGATATCACAGTCTCGGCTCACGCAATTCTAACCTCGACCGGCACAACCTACCTCCTGAAAACACAACACAGAAAAAAAACACGAAGCAAAACACAGCAAAAAGATACAAAAATATAAACTAAAGACAAAAACACAAAACGAACGAAATGGACCAAATAAACTACAAAAATCCTACAAATGGGGGAAAACGAAAAGAAAATAAGCCTGAATTAAGGACACAAAAATGGGACAAACAATCTCCTAAACCAGGAAAACAATATCAAAAAGGAGAATCTTCCGGGAGAAAATGATTCGTGAAGCTGGTGGAAAAATAAAAGTAAGAGATTATAAATACATTTTTTTTAGCACCCAAAAAAGACTGAACTGCAAATTTCCGTTTAGCACCACAATGTCTTGGATAATTGGCCAAGTCAAATAAAATCCTTTTTTTATTTACAAAACTATTGAAAGATTTCTCCTACACCATCTGGTACGAAGTACTTGAGCAATTAAACCCCGATAAGCACAGCAGCTGAACAAATATGATTACTATCATTTACAAAATGCAAATGTAATTGCTAAAAAAATGTATTTATAGTCATCTTACTTTTATTTCTCCACCAGCTTCACGGTTCATTTTCTTCCAGAAGATTCTCCTTTTTCATATTGTTTTCCTGATTTGGGAGATCGCTGAAACGCCATGATTGATTTGATTCCACCCAGAGTAGTGATGAATCTTCCATTTGTTTCGCCCTGGCAGCGTACTTCAACTTCATCAGGGCGCAGCTCAACAATGATCGTATCATCAGAACGATCAAAATAGGCATCAAGCAACTAGGACAACTTCCCCCATTTGTTCACTAAATTGTCAATCCAACATGGAACAGGTTTGGTTTCTCAAACTCACTCGAGTCGAAATGCAGCCCCATACATGACAGAATTGCATTGCCTTAGAAAAGGTTATTGTCATGGTTAAAAGACATCTTGCTAAAGCCTTCTTCGAAAAAACTCAGCTTTGAGTGTTGTTATACACTTTTCCATGCATTCGCAACCTCCAAGGTGGGCGTTACTGTGCCTCGTTAAACCCTGATAATCCATGGTAAGTTCAACCAATGTGGCACCGGCTATTGTGGGTTCCATTTGATGGTGGGTTTGTTTTAGCTCATACATCTTTAGATCGACCTCATATCCAATCAAATAGAGGTCATTCCGTCTGAGTACGTCACCACTTGCTGCCACCATATTCACATAGAAATATTTGTTTTTCTCTTTAGCTTGAGATTTAACCACCACAGTTTGATTTCTTACAAAATGTAAATCTGTCGAGAGTTTATTAATTAAGTGGCTATAGGCTATGGAGGACCTCATTAGATTTATTCTGAAATGGTAAGTGTTCTTTGCTTTGTTTTTGTCCTCCATCTGAAATAACATTGAACATGGAGAGTTCTAAGCACTTTTTGACTCTTATGAATAGCGTTGTTAAATTAAATGAGCCTTGCTCGGCTCCATTCTTTAAGGCTCGAGTTCAAGGTCTTTAATGAGCCGAGCTCGAGTTCATTTAAAACTCGTTTAGTTAACAAGCCGAGCTCGGCTCGGCTCGAAAAGAGAGTTTTTTATAGTTCGGTTCGTTAAAGGTCGAGATTGGCAGGCTCGAGGCCTTAACGAGCCGAGCTTGAGCTCGATTTTTAGCTCGTTTATTTAACTAGCCAAGCTCGGTTCGACTTGTTTATAGCTCTAAGTTATGAAGTATTATATTACTAAAAAAAAGAAATAAGATACATTTTCTTTGTAAAAATACTCATTGGTTACAAAGATATGTATATTTTTAATGGAGACATTTTGACTGTTTTTAATCCCAAAAAACATCAAGACCTCATAATACACATCAGTCAACGGATATTCAACGTGAATGTATAATTTGAAACAAAAATCCTAAATTAATTATCAGGAGAAACAGAAAATCAAAGCTTGAAGTAACATATGATTTTTAAGATCTGAAAACACAAAAATCGAAGAGCAGGTCAAAAATACATCAAAAGGCAAGTCAAGAAGAAAACAAGCTACGTGGATTTTTGGAGCCCAAAATTCCACTAAAAGCACATGCACCTCACGTAAATATTCATAGGCATGTCCGATGACCTGAAATTTTTGGGCTGAGGGGTCAAAAATCTACTTTGTATGTTTGGGCCTGCATGCTTGGGACTACAATCAAAGCAACGAGTTAGGGGTTGATGAAATTGAACCAGACAAGGAAGAAGATAAACACTTGGATATATGATTTTTAAGATCTGAAAACACGAAAATCAAAGAGCAGATCAAAAATACATCAAAAGGAAAGTCAAGAAGAAAACAAGTTACGTGAATTTTTGGAGCCCAAAATTTCACTAAAAGCACATACACCTCACGTAAATATTCATAGGCATGTCCGATAACCTGAAATATTTGGGCCAAGGGTCGAAAATCTACTTTGTGTATGTTTGGGATTGCGAATCAAAGCAACTGAGTTAGGAGTTGATGATATTGAACCATGAAAGGAAGAAGGTAAACACTTGGTACATGAAGAAAAAAAAAAAAAGAGAAAAAATCTGTTGGAGAAATACCAGAGAATGAAGATGATTTTTCTTGAATAAGAACTACACCTTTGAGGGATGAAGAAAAATGTTATGGAAAAGAATGAGGATTCAGATTTCAGAACGAGTTCGCCTCAAGAAACGCCCATTTTTTATTTGTAGAGAGAGGTAGAATTTGTACAATGGCTACAAGCGTACCCACTCGACGCGGTGGGCTCCACTGACAAAGAATGACTGATATACCTTCTAAGGGTTAGACAAAACTTGTAGAAAGAGCGAAAATCTCGATTAGAATGAAATTAGTTTTCACTTTTCCCTGTATAAATATTTTTGCTTAGGATCAATCCAAATATATGATTAAGGAAAACAGATATATAAAGCCTATTTCTAATAATTTTGAAGATTACATGATTTATCAAATAGCATATATATAATTAAATTTACAACCATGGTTCAAATGCCCGACGCCATGCTCCCCAAGTCAACTCACAGACTCTTACGGCCTGATGCATTGGGGCTAGATGAAAGTGACCAGGCAAGTCACATGGGCTTTGGTTACCCACAAATGGACCATTTGGCTTGTATAACACAGCACATCAATCTTCACTTCCTCATTCTACAATATCCAAATAACCCCCGGAAATCCATGAGCTTCAATACGGAAGGAGTTATCGAATTTGCTAAAGCGCACGAATTTATCTGTCGTCTCCCCACTGATGTATGGTTCAAAAAGAGCCATAATTTCCGGTTTATACTGGTGAACTAGGGTTGAAATATTCATTATGTAACCAATTGAAAAGAAAAACCGATCCCCATTAATCCAGGCTATGGACCTCTATAACCGAGCTCTCTTCCATGCACATGCGTTCATTCGAACCTCCATCCGATTGCCGTCTCGAGTTTGGGTCCTCCGGCCATGGGTCCTGTCGTCGTATATTATGCTCTTCTACCGCCATTAAAGCATCCTCGTCCGATCGCACAGTGGCATTATGTTGAGGGTTTTTGTTTGGGGTTACTTGGACCTTGTCTGGTACCATGAGCGCCCGGTGTTTGGTCGGATCCAGTCCAGCCCTAACTCGAATATGCCCTGTTGACCCGGAGAGAAATAGTGGGCTATGGGCCCATCTCGCCCTTTAGGCATCCCGTCAACTTTGTCCAGTCCAAAGGTACTATTATGGGCCACCACCTTTCCTTTGTCTATGTTCCCCTACAGCCCATCGTTGTATCGAGTCCGCTCACTGTGCCAGCTTTTACGTTTCTCGTTTGAGCCTTGCTTTGTCTTTTCCCTCGGCCCGAAGCCACACGTCATTCCCTTTCTTCCGTATCCCCAGCGCTCCTTTTAGGTACAATGGTCTCCTCCTTATTTTTGGCCACATAAGAAGCACCAAATTCGAACATTTGATTCGAGTCCCTCATATCCTCCTTTTCCAAAAGCTCAAAGCAAGATCCCCGTCCCATCGTTGGCGGTGCCTTGTCACTTTGTGCTATCCATCCCTTTCTCACGCCTGGTGTATGGCTGACGTGGACGTTGAGGGACCTGGATCCATGGGCCATATCGTTGGTTCTCGCCACCACACTCCGTCATCTCCTTCACCCCTGATCAATTTTCTCCATTCTATGCTGTTTTTGTACTCACATCGGGGTGAGCTTCCTTGTGAGTGCGCTCGGGGGGATGTGTCTGGTAGAGGCAGGAGCTTCCCGAGTGCCCAATTCTCCCACATAGGAAGCAAATAACGGGCAAGCTCTCGTAAACAAACAACCCTCTGGTGTCTTCTGTTAATGGTAAGTTCCACACAAAGTGGTTTCGTGAGACCAACCATAACAGCAAGTCTAGCATATTTTCCACGAGTCAGGGTTGTGGTCTGTTGATCGATTTTGACCACCAATCTTACGAAAAATCTTCTTATGGTATGTATAGGTGGGCGGGCCTACCGTGTAGTCGGATCCAAGCTACTGTTGCCGTTAAGTCCTCCTTGGTCGCATCTAAGTCAAGAGTCCGGTACATGCATATAGCTGCTCCTTACTATGTATGGCCCTCCGATGAGGACTTGGATCGTGTCATCATGGTTTCTAAAATGGATCAGATAGTAACCGTTCTCTAAGTCCATCATATTGCAACCCGCCATAAAAGGGCCGGTGAGTCGATTATAAAGGGACGGCATAGTGAGCTACTCGTCAAACGGTTTCAATACTACTGCATTCTGCCATTTTTTTTTTAATTTTTTCAAAAAAAAAAAAGCTGCGCAATTCGGGCGTTGGTTGAGAGAGATCGACGATCACATCCTCTTCCTCCTCCGTTTCCTTCTCGCTATCCTCAGGATCCATCTCCACATGGTTCCTGTGTTTATTGACATGTCCTTAAATGTCCATTTGCGTGGCTGCGACTCTTGAACTGATGCCGATGCCGATTTCTGTGGTGGGATCAGCGGGATTTGTTGATCTAAGGGATCTCCAGTTCGTTTGCGAGTTTTTGGGCGCTTACTTACTGGATGGATATGTCGATCCAAAATCGGAAATTCTGTGTCGTGAATTAGATTCCCAGAAGTATCGCCCGGATCAAAGGTCTCCGATCCGTTGTTGAGTGTCGTGGGACTGTTGAGAGTGTTTTTGGTCATTAGGGTTTTTTCACCTTTTTCAAAATTAACCAAACCAAACCAAAAAAATCCAAACAAAACCAAAATTTGGACACGCCACAATGTCAGAGAAAAAGGAGACGGACGATCACTGTGACAGAGGTAGGAGGAGAAGGGACCGTACTCTTTTCCTTTATTTTAAATTCGCTACTTTGCAAGCCCTAGGGCTCCTTCAGAGCAACTCGTCGTTGGCGCCGGCGCCAGCGCTTTCCAGAAGAGTATTGGCGTTCTGGATAATGAATTCGGTGACGATTACCGTTTCTCGATAACCCGTCCGCGTGATACCCTGTGATGAGCCTGGGGGAGGAGCGATTCCCGGGCCTTCCCAAACGGCGAGAAAGCCGACGGCGTTTCGTCTTCACCTCATCCGTACATGTTCCACAAGAGGAGAAGGAGAAAGAGGAAATATTATATTTTTCTTTTGTTTTTCTCTTTTGTTTCAGGAAATGAATCAAGCATCGAGTGCATATCAACCATTGATGGGGTGGATGAAGATGAGATCTCTAGCGTCCACCCATTTTCTCTGGTCTCATCCCCAAAGCCATCCCACAACAATAATTAAGCCACGAGTGTTCATGAGCTTCTTTAATGCCCGGTTTATACTAATTCTATATACCCTCCCACACATCAGATTCGAAGATTGTCTTTT